GTGTTCTCACATCCTGTTCCTGCCAGCAGTCACAAGCAGGTGCAGGAAACAGAATGCTGCCCACTTGAGAAGGAAGAAAATGATTTAGAGAATTTATCTGACTTGCGCGAGGTCACCTGCACCTAAGGTCTAAGATTTAGGTCTAGTCTCCCCCACCCCCACCCAATAGTTTTCCACAACCGCCTCATTGGACCCCGACCACGCAGTCATCATTAGATACAGAGGGCAGACTGACAGCTGTCAGAGGGGAGGGGAGTTGGGGACCTGAGGGGAAAGGTGAAGGGACTGAGCAAACCAATTCATAGACACAGACTACAGCACGGTGATGAGCAGAGGGAAGGGGGGCGGGGGAGGTAGGAGAGGGCAAAGGGGACAGGGAACTGGTGATGGAAAGAGACTTAATTTGGCCTGGTGAACACACAATGCAATATACCAATTTCAGGGGTACGCAGAATTGTACCCCTGAAACTTACATAATTTTACTAACCAATGTCACTCCAGTAAATTCAATTTAAAAAATGTAAGGTACTTATTGGGCAGTCTGGAGCACTTCTGGAGTGACAGATACGAAAAGGAGATGCTCTTTGCCCTTTGACTCCACCACATGCCTGCTGCACATCTGTGCTCCTTCTGTTCACTTCCCCACCTCAAAGATACATAAAAACGAAGTGAACAACCTCAAGTGTTTGTTTTGAAACAAGCCATTTAAAAGAAAACAAAGTAGCCTCACAGATAAAGATACTCTTAAAACAAAGATACTCTTAAAACCTCTTCTCAAAAGGAGCAAAAAGTTACCAAAAAATGTATGCAGAAATCTACCAAAGTGGCCCTGCCCACAGGCTCACGTTAGAGATGGCCTACCAGGCTGGCTCTGCCACTGGTCACCGGATGCCCTTGGTGCTGTCACCCCCAGGTCCCTTTATATTGCCCTCCCATGGATTGCATGACTGGTTTTATTTACCAAACTACACAGGTTAAAAAGTAAGGAACGACATTCCCATTTCACACTCATCAAAGACTTTTGCAACTGCAGCTTTGAACTAGTATGACATTTAGAAAGTTACCAAATTTCCCTGAAAAAAAAAAAAAAAAAAGTATGTAGGATCTTAGCCCTAAACACAGCAGCCCCGCGCAGAGTAAAGTGGCTCGCTCCTGTTCCCCAGAGTTCGGGAGGCTGGTTTCCAGCCCCTGTGGCCTCTTCCCGGATCCCCGGGGCCCTGAGGTTCCCCCAGGCTTGAAACCACTGGTTCCAAGCAGGCGGCCACATTCGTGGAAAACAAAAATATGCAAGTCCCTACCACCAACGCTGTGGTAAAGACACTGCCTAAGACCAGGTGCAAAAGCGAGCCTGGAGCCAGCGGCTTTGAGGCAGAACGATGCACGTGGGCAGCCAGGGGGCAGGTCCCCAGCATCCAGATCCCAGGGTCACCGGAAAAGGGGCGAGAGCAACAAGTTCCCATCTGCATGACATGAAAAAGGGGCAACATGGCACAGGGGCATTTCACGGAGTATGTTTTCCAGGAAGATGCCCATTTCCCCAGACATCTACTGACTTAAAAGCAAGTTAGCCCTACTGCCACTGATTCTGTGATACCTTCTCTCCCTCCATGGCTCTTTTAAAAGCTGAGTAAATGCTGCTGCCCAAATCACAGGAAGAGAAAAAGCAAACCAGTTTTATTCCCTGGCCCCAAGTGCCTACTGTCTCATTTCCATAGCTTCCCCTCCAAGTTCTATAATCATTAAGCCTACTAAGAGTGTAATCCTATGACAAGACCCAACTTCACAAATACAAATTCAAAAACTAGAACTCAGGATTGAAAAGGAAAAAAAAAGAACACTAGTTCAAAAGACGTAGGCAACTAAGCTCATAATCTTGCAGATGGGTGTCAGGGTGAAACTCAACACTGCTGCGTAGCCGCCACTCACAGGGAGCCCGCCTGCCTTCTCAGGTGTCTGCCACCCTCCCAGACAGGAAAGCACCTTCACAGGGCCCCGCTTCAGGAGACAGGGCCTGCTGCACAGCTGCGCCCCTTCCCCCATGTTCTTCACTGGAGGAATATAATTTTTCTGCAATGCTCGCCTGTTTGGACAGCACCTGCCAGGTGTACCCCTTTCCTTAAAATCTCCCATTAGCACAGAGAGAAAGCCACCGCCCACCCTGACGGTGCTGGGAGTTTGCATTCGCTGCACAGGTCACGCGCCCAGGACCGTGTTAGGCATTACTTGGTTTTTCACAGTGGCCCCATAGAGTTGGCACTGCTACCATCTTCCCAGTTCACCTTATTAAACGAGGGACCTGAGGCACAGAGAGCATCGTCGGCAGACCAGGACCCCCTTGGATCCACCACACCAGGCACCTTCTCGACACCGATGCAGACCTGCCTGCACACCCGTGAGGCTCCGAAAGGGGCCGGGAAACCACACGGTCCACGTGGGTGGGTGAACTGGTAGTACACGGAGCTCGTGCCCATGGTTAAAAGTTCATTTACAGGCAGGAAGCCTCCTCTCCACCTCCCCCCGAAAACCTTTCAGATTTAGGTAAATTAGAGAGAACAATATTCTTCAATTAACATGCAAGGAAAGCTTCATGAATTTCTGGAGCTTTAAAATGACGGAAGAAAGTGGTGGGTGTGGGGGAAGAGACAGAACCTGTGAGCTTTCTCTGTCAAAAATAGGGACGAAACGCACAGCGCTATAAACAGCAGGTGCTTGTTAATTTGCTATAATTATTAGCCATCTAATATCAGTGACAGACCCATTTCACCGAATTTTACTGGGGAGGCATTCTCCCCCGGCCGTCTGCAAAGACAGACACTGAGGCACTGGCCTGGTAGCTCAGGCCGTCAGCACATCATCGAGCTACAACAAGAGTGGGGGTTTGATCCCCCGTCAGGGCACACATAAGATTAAGAACTAACAGGAACAATAAACAGATGTTTCTTTCTCTCTCAAAAAAAATCAGTGAAGACAGACCACTGAAAACTGAGAAAGATGAAGGAGTCTTGCCAGCCGGCCCACAGAAGGGTTTGCGCACAGCTCTTCCAGTCTCACTCCAGTTTTACTTTTACAAAGAAAACTTTGTACAATTCCCCCTTCCTGCCTCCTAAGAATGAAATGTAACAGTAAATGATTTATAGTAAAGGTTAACAATCTTCTCTTATTATCTCTGTCTGAGAAATTACCCTTAAAAGTTCTGCAAAATACATTTTATGGCAGAAATTCTTTTCAGACTGGGAATGATTTTTTCCCCTGAGGGGACATTTGGCACTAACTGGGGACATTTTTGGTTGGCACAATTGGGGGAGGGGTGCTTCTGACATCTGGTGGGGGAAGGCCAGGGAGGTTCCTGTAGACAAAAAAAAAGAAAGAAAAAGAAAGGACAAATGCTTTATAACGTAAAATAATCTATTAATCTTTTACAAATGCTGTTCTTGGGAAAGGAGGAAGAGAGGGAGAGAAACACTGATGTGTGAGAAATACATTGACTGGTTGCCTTTCACTCACCCTCAACTGGGGACCTGGCCCGCAACCTGGGCATGTGCCTTGACTAAGAATCGAACCCGAGACCTTTGGATCTGCAGGACGGCACTCAATCTCCTGAGCCACCCCAGCCAGGGCAAAATGCTATTTTTTTTTAACAGACACAAATAAAGGATCTGAAAACTGCAGAGTTACTTATACCATGGGGGGGGGGGGTGAGAGAGAGAGTTCCGAGTAGACACGTGGTGTCCACTGCACCTAACTATGCTCAGGGCCTCTAGTTCAAGAAACTCCAGCGGCAAATAAGCTCTGCAGAGCTCAGTGGAAGGGACAGGAGGGACCGGGTGTGACTCCCAACTAGAAGCCACTCCTAACTAAATCTGAACACTGTTTCATCTTCTGGCACTCCACGGAATGAGAAGTTCATAGTAAGATAAACTTTTTTTTAAATTCTCTGAAAAACAAAAGTCCCTGGATGGAAACTGCGATCCAGCTAAGCTCCGGCCTCTGTCGGTTACCCCTCCGGACCACGTGAAGACTCCCCACTACTAAGCATTCCCTTTCACTGTCTGGGGATACAGAAATGTATACAGAAAGCGAATGTGCGGATTTATGACTCAGGCTCCCCCGCAGTGATAAAACACCCCCCGAGGCAGCAAAGAAAAGCCCCTTAAAATTTATTGCAAAAATGACAACCTAAAGACTCTTAGCAAAGGAATATTTTCCCTGAAGCTACCCAAAGTGATTTTACAACGTCCAAAGCAGCTTTTGGATCAAGTCCCACTAGCAGTGTTTTTAGTTCTCCCTCCCGCTTCACCAAGGCCAGCCACACACTCACGCTCCGTCCTAGGAGTCCAGGTCGGCACCTCACGCAAAGTTCTGATCCCAGGAGTTCACAATCGCCAGGGCAGTGTGCGCGGGGACCCTGGGGTGGGCCTCGGGGTGCCGCCCATACACCCCAACCTCTGAGCGACCTCATGGTCCTGTCTAGGGGGACCCCACAGCTCACGAGGTGGGGGAGGGAGGAACTCCAAAGAGCTCCTTTTAGGAATCCCCTCCCGGGATACGAAGGGGGACGGCACCCACCCCAGATAGAGATCCACTCTTTGCAAACTCAGGGAAAAGAAGTATCTTTCAAAATCCTTCCGCGTAGCTGTGTCCTCAGCCAGGGCAGCGCATCCAGACGGGACCTGCTTTCCTACCAAGTGCTGGGTGTACCCCGGTCCCACACGCCCACGCAGAGGCTCCCACTGCAGCGCCTGCCCCACTACTGCTCCCGCCGCGGCGCAGGCCTGTGAGCCTCCGGTCGCCCCCAGGTGGGCACTCCCAGGGGCGCAGAGGCAGGGACTGATACTAGATGTGCAGAGACAAGTGTGCACAGAGTGGTGTGCAGGCGCGGAGACTGCTCCCAGGTGTGCGGAACTCAGTGAGCAAGGTCAGGAGCACACGCTGAGCCGCGCACCGCAGGTCCCAGCGCGGAACCTCCAAACCCTGGTCCGCGGAGCGCTTCACCAACTCACCTCCTCCAAAAATGCAGTCAAATCGTACACTTTGTTATGCAGGATAATCCAGGTGCTCTTGCTGTGGTTGTGCTTCTGGACCTCTTCCAAGGTGTAGTACGTAACGGCCTTATCTGACGCCTCGGCCATTTCGGAAAGCAGAGAGCTGCACCCCCAATACACACCAGTGGAGCCAGGCAGAGCGCAGCAGGCGTTTAAAACAGCCAGAGCCAGGGCATTTCCCTAGTCCCGGCTGCTGTGCCTGGGGCTGCAGGACCAGTCCCACCCAGGGGCGGCTGGCTGGGGGCCTCCGATGATAGGCCAGAGCCCGTGTCACTCAAGGGACCCGCCCTTGCCCTCCACTGTATACCAACCCCAGCGCACCTCGCCCAAACTGGGTGTTGATTGGCTGAAGAAGATGCCTACTGTGCTCCGGGCGGGGCCATGCAGTGCCTCTCTTGCGCCTGCGCAAAAGGAGGCGAGGTGGCTGGGTGTAGGGAGGGTGTAGGGAGGGTGTAGGGAGGGTGTAGGGAGGGTGTAGGGAGGGTGTAGGGAGGGTGTAGGGAGGGTGTAGGGAGGGTATTGACTCCGGTAAGGAGGCTGCAGGGGGCTTCCGTTTTCATCTAGAAGGACAGATAAAGTGCTTCTCAGATAAAAGCAAAACCAAGGAGTTCATCATCACCAAGCCCTTATTATATGAAATGTTAAAGGGACTTACCTAAGAAAAAGATAAAAAAGATGAACAAAGAAAGGACACCAAACTCACAGTTATCAACAACCACACCTAAAGCAAAAGCAAATTAAGAGGACAGCTAGATCAGGAGTGAACCATAGAAATGAAGATCACGTGGAGGATTAGCAACAGGGGAGTAGGAGGGGGAGAAGGTACAGAAAATAAGTAGCATAGATGGTAGGTAGAAAATAGATGGGGGGAGGGTAAGAATAGTAGGGGAAACACAGAATCTAAAGACTTGAGACACGAGTTCATTAACTAAAGGGGGGATGGTGGAGGAGGGGGTGTGCAGGGTGGAGGGGAATGGAGGGGGGAATAGAACAAATATAATGGCATAATCAATAAAAAAAAGGAAAAGAAAAAACAAGGCTGCACATGTGTGCTGGAAGGACGGACCCTGCGGGGTGGTCCATAGTGGCCAGCGCATAGTCCAGTCTGTGCAGGAAAGCGTCCCCACGTCCGATCGCCGCATTTCCCAATCAAGTCATATCAGCCGGACCCGGACACTAATTTCTAACCGTCTTCGCTGCGAGTCTGAAGAGTGAGTTGTTAGCATTACAGGAGACACAGACGAGCCTTGTGGACTTGAGAACATCAGCCTCTGTAAAACTGCGTTGCTGCCCAGAGCAAACTGTCACTGCAGTGTCTATCCCAGATTGCTCCGTTCTCACAGGAAAAACAAACCCATGGGAATTCTTATAAAAAGTAAAGGCACTCTGGTGATTTCTGTATCCCTGAAGTAGTTCATGGCTGACCACTGGCTAGGCGGGCTCTGGCGTTAGCGTCTTTGCCTCGTGTCAACAGTGTGTTGTTAAGGTTCGCCCTAAATGATGGACAGCACTTGGAATAAAGCCTGGAAGAGCACCTCCCAGCAGGCGCATGAAGACTTGCAAATGTTTGAGAAAAACAAAGCAGAAAAGTGCCAGCATGTTAAAAAACCACCTGATATTTGTTAAGGCCCTTTTCAGCGAAGGTAACTCCAAAAGGACTACAGGACAAGGTGCGCAGGTAGGTCATCTCCCCAGGACAGAGCATCGTTCTTCCGCATTTAGGTGCCGAAGGTCAGTGCCCACCCCTGGCCTCCTCCCTAGAAATGCATGGCCATGAAGAGGAAAACAATTTCCCAAGTAGTCCAAGTATTCTTCAGCCTTTTCGAATGATGGAATACGCTGATTTTCAAATACTGAACCAGCCTTGCACCTCGGGAATACACCCCACTTGTTTATGGCATATAGTAATTTGATGAAGTGTATGTTGAGTTTTTACACCTACATTTATGAGATAGTGCGTAGATTTCTGTTTGCGCATTACATTTGTCTGGTTTGGGTACCAGAGTAAAACTGCTTCACAGAATGAGTTGAGAAGTTTCCCTTTTCTATTTTTCTGGAAAAGATTATGTACAATTGGTGTTATTCTTTAAAAGTATGGTAGAAGTATCCAGTGAAACCAAATAGGAATGCAGATTTCTTCTTCAGGAAGTTTTAAATTTTACTTTACATATAACAGTTACGGAATTCTTCAAATTATGATTCATTCTGGGGAAGCCATGGTAATGTGTGTTTTTTGAGAAATTGGCCCCTTTTGTTTAACTTGTTAAATCTAGCCTTTTGATGTTTACAGGGTCTGTAGTGAAATCCTGTTTGATTCCCCATACCAGTAATTTGTGACTTCTACTTTTTGTTATGTTTGCTAGAGGTTTGTCCGTTGCATTGATCTTTTCAAAGAGCCAGGGTTTTTTTCTTGAATTTTTCTTTTTTTTCAATGTTATTGATTTCTGTTCTTTATTATATTCTTCCTTCTGCTTGCCTTGTTTTTTTTTTTTTTCTTTTTCCCCCCGGTTTCTTCAGGTGCAAGTTTATTGACTTGAAACTTTTTCTCCTTTCTAATGTTTGCATGTCTAATGTTTAATGTTATAATATTCCAATATGCTTTTAAAATGGTAGACCAAAATTATACTACTTCCCTAACCATTGTCAGGACTGCCAAATCACCCCAAGACTTAGAGCGAAGCAATGTGTCTCTTGACTGGATGGCTTATCTCTGAAATCTAATGTCAAGACTGTTTCAGATTTCAGCCCCACTTCCAAATAGCTCCGGAAAGGGTTAAAAACAAAACGCTGGTGCCCCAGACCTGGATTCTCTCAGGTGTGACTTATCAGGTGCATGGCTATGAGCCAGATGGTCAACGATTCTAAACAACTGCTTATAAAACGCTTAGCACAGGGACTGACACACAGAAAGCAATCAGCAGATTTTAGCTAGCTCTCATGTTATCATTTTTACTCAACAAGACTTCCTTATTCTAAAACACAGGTATGAGGAAGCATCCTATCTGGCAGGTGCTCCCAGGAGAAGTAAATCTAGGCAAATTTCAAAACAAACACACCTGATAAATTAAAGGAACACAAATACTTACAGATTCCTCCTGACTTCCTCTCCAGCAATTCAATGTACAAACATTTGGAACTCTAACTCTACTCCTTAAGTTACTTAGATAAAAATATACTGTAAAATGTACTCAGTCTTCTGTTCTAAAAGAAGACAAGAATAAGCAAACATTATCTGATTTTAACATTTCTTTCCTAATTCTTTATGCCCCTTGTGCACAAGACTTACCTGAGCAGCTCTCTTTGCTATCATACAGTTACAACCACAGAAAGTCAGTTCTCTCAAGAAATGGGCACTTCTACAAAGACAGACTCCAGTTCAAATAACTACATAGATAATTTGCACGGTACTCATATCCGTGTCTCTTAAAAATCATGTTACCATAGGTTATCTTTATCCTCGCCAAAATATCTCTCTCTCCAGCAAAGGCATATTGGCCACGGAAATAAGAAAGGATCTTCAGACCAAAAACTGAAGCAGGCAAGTCCGAGAAACACAACAGAATTTATTATAGGGTAAGGTACTTACAGGAAATAGGGTCCAAGCAGACAAGACCATCCAAAGGGCCTGCAGAAATTATTCTCCACTACAGACTCCTGTTACTGTGCTTTTTTGATACTATAACTCAGCTACTAATGACCTACAAGACAAAGGGTCAAAGAATGAAACAGTGCCAGGGGCCTAGTGATAAATAATTGTCTATAACTGATACTACCACCAGTTTGATATTTATCTCAGTTGTTACGGCATTCCAGCCCAACAAAAATATTCATGGCTACATTTTAAAAGACAAGTACTCATGCACCAATTAGAAGGCTGTTTTTCAAAATTTATATGATTTATTTTTCAATTACAGTTGACTAGAAGGCTTTGATATACTTGCTGTGGAAAACGAGGTTGGTCAAAGGTCACAGCATGAAACTCTGAAATGAAATGAAATCTGGGACACAGAGATGGAGTCATCTCCAGCAGCAGCTTCATCCCCTTTCCTTCCCTGAGTTCACCCATCACTGGTGACACTCCCTGCCACCCCCCACCACCCAGCTCTCCTCCAGCTCTGGCAGAAGTGTGCATAACAGCCCTGTTTTCTTACAGCAGGACCAGGATATTCAAATGAGCCAAGTACAGCGATTTTAGAGCCTGACGTAGTTTTTTCACCTTTGTGAAATGAAGGGGTGAGGCCAATTCAATGAAGTCCCTCTGACTCTCAAAGCTCCTGAAGTGATTGTGAGGGGCACACCCAGTGAGGACCCTTTTCAGAAACCCCTGTGTGTTTCTAAGAAGGACCCTGTCCTTCTGAGTCCCAGCCTCCCTCGGTGTGTTTGAGGACAGCGATAACAGTCTACCCATAAATACAATCTTAGACCTCCAACTGCTCAGTGTCCAGTTGCATGCTGACCTGCCGCAGCCCCCACCTGGGGCTTGTCATCATAGTTCCAGTTTCCTGTCTACAGATCTGACGCTTCCGCAAGTCACCTTTCTGGAAAAAGACCTTCATTTTCACAGGGTCCTTGCCCAATCACAAAATCTGACCTCATCTCCATAAAACAGATACATAGTCAAACTGGTGTGTGGAATCCTTAAGAGGATTCTTTGAATGACTGTGAGTGAGGAAACAAGAAACATAAGGAACTCGTTTACCTGGAAAGTTGATGCCTCTTCATGACTTTTGTGCTTTTTTTCTGTGACTGTGTCTTACTCTAATTGGTTTATAAGAGTTCTTCATATAATCTGGAAAATAAACATTTGCAGATTACACATGTGAAAATATCTCCTTCCAATCTGTACCCTGTATCTCCACTTAGTTTTGCTTTTAAAAAACAAGTTTTTTCACAAAGCTTTTTATTATATGAAAGTTCAAACATGTACAAAAGTAGGGAGAATAGTGTGTATAATGCATAAAAGCAAGGTGATGATATGAACCTTCACTCATTTTCCACAATTATCAAAATGTAGCCAATTTTGTTTCTTCTTTATTACCACCCTCATCTCCCATGGGATCGTTCTAAAGCAATTTCCAGTTTTATAATTTCATCCATTAATGCTATTTCAACATATATGTCTATAAGATAAAGATCTTACCACTATTATCAAAGTACTATTCCCACCTATAAAATAATTTATTAGTACAATTAAATATAGTTAGTATGCAAACTT